TGGGATGGATTCCTTCCAACAGCGGATGAAGATAATCCATATCGCACTCCCAACAGTGGATGGAGTGGTATCCCTCACCCGCCCAAGTGGGGACACGTTCCTCCCAACAGCGGATGGAGGAACCGTCTAACCATCACGTCTGATGGCCCGCTAATCCCCGAAGGGAATCGCCATACCTGCCCTCGGCAGGGATACATAAACATCCATGATCATTCATTTACACTCATTCAATCACTCATGCATACATCAAGAAATCAATATTATGAGAGACTATACTTGATATAAATCTACTAGATTATGTTCATTGGTGGCTCCGCACTATGATGGGCCCATAGCTCCTTTCACAGGTTGCACTCCCAATGTGAACTGCTAGTCTAGTCACATCTACTACATACTACATGATACTTATCATATCAATATCATAAACATAGAAAACCAATAATCATTTTCAAATGACATTTTCAGATAAAACTTTTAAATTCATCATATCATAAAAGCATTAAATATCAATATCTCAATAGTCCTCAATCAAAACCCTAATTGGAATAGCTCAATTGACTTAAACCAAATTCAATTCGATTATGATCTAACGGAATCAATACTAAATCCTTATGGAACTAGTCTGGAATCACCCTAAATCGATCTAATTTAGATTTGATTGATCTCGATTATGTCAAATAGGTTTGAACCAATCAAGTTAGTTTGGAATCACCCTAAATCAGCTTTAACTGATCAAACATGTTTGATTTCGTTAATTAATGAGCTAAAACCAATAGAGAAGGAGATTGGACTATGTCGTATAGTACTAACCCAAACTGAACCAACCCACATGAGTCTTGAGCGGGTCATATACATTGCATATACCTGTTCCAAATACTAGGTTGAGTTGAGGTACGACGGGCTATATAAAAGGAGCAATGATATGTCTAATATCAATCGCGTCGCTGGGCAGGCTTAACTTCATGGACTAGGCTAAGCCTCACTTATAAGTTGGGCTGGGCCTTACCATTGAACTAAGCCATGCTTGGCTCACGAATTGATCATAGACACATGAGTTGGGGTCGTATCTGACCACCTAGACTGAGTTGTACCTAGCCACATAAGCTGGCCCATGCTTAGCCACATGGTTGAGTCGTACCTTACCATATGAGTTGAATTATACATGGCCACATAGACTGGATTGTATCTAGCCACACGAGCTGGTCCATGCCTAACCAC